ACCTGCTGCTCAGGGGAGGGGGCGGACAATAGTCCCCACCCCCCCCGTTTTTCTAATTTAGGGCCCCCACCCCACTTAGGGGTGGGGCCGGAGGGGTAATAGGTCTCCCCTTCAGTTTAAAAGCCCCCACTCGTGCAGCACGGGTGGGGGCTCGGGAGGGGGGAAACCGTTTTTTTTTGTTGGTTTTTTAACAGTGAGCAGCAAAAAATGTAAACCCCCCTGGGGACTAGGGGTCCCCAAACCCCTAGTCACCACCCTCCCCCCAAAAAATAACCCTTACCTACCCCCCTCATCCTAAAAATAATGAGGAGGGACCTTTATCTAAATTCCTGTAAATTTACATTTGATGTCTTCTTTCTTCTAAACTCTTCAGAGCACTCTGATTGGTGGATTGAGTACCCTATCAGAGTGTTATAAGTCAAATTACACAGTGTGGGAAGGGAGGCCCCTGCCGCGTAGGCAGAAGAGGCCACAGCCCCTCGAACTGAGTGTGCTCCAAAAGCCTGGTCTATCCCGGCAAGGGCTAAGAGCCATCTAACCCATCTGGCCAACGTAGTGACCGAGACTGGAGCGTAGGGCGAACGTAAGAGATGAGAAGTTGATGATTGGAAGTAGGCCGCAACATCGTGGTAGCTTCCACGTATTGACGGAGAGTAGAGACCACACAGAGCTGAGGGTCTGAGGGAAAAAGGGGGTAAAAAACAGAGGAGGGGTCGGACTTTGTGCGTCTAGAGACCTGGAAGGTTATTCCCGCTGGACAAAAGGTAAATGCGTCGGCGTCAAAAGCGCGTACATCGGACACCCGACGAAAGGAGACTAGGCAGAGTAGGAAAGTGAATTTCGCTGTAAGCTGGCGGAGTGATAAATTCTCTTTAGGAGGCCAGCCCCGTAAAAACTGTAAGACTATGCCAACGTCCCAAAGTCTCGAGTATTTGGGCTCCGGGGGGCGCCGAAGGCGCATGCCGCGGAGGAGTCTACAGATGAGTGGGTTCTGGCCCACTGGTGTCCCTTGAGTCGGCTTATGAGCCGCTGAGATGGCTGAACGTATCACGTTGATGGACCGGTATGATTTCCATGCTGTGAATAGAGGTGAGGAAATGGAGGGAATAGGTGCCGTAAAGGGATTGAGATCCTGTCCCAGACACCAAGTTGTCCAGCAGTGCCATGCTGATAAGTAGCACCTCCTTGTTTCTGGCGCCCATGAATCCCATAGGAGATCCCTAGTTTCCTGCGATAAATCCTTGGTTCGCCAGGAACCCCTGAAAGAGGTCCTCCCTGAGCAGCGGATAGGGTAGTCCCATCGGGTTCCTGAGGATGGTCGGAGTATCTGGTAGGAGGAGGGGATCCCTGTTCGACAGTTCCAGAAGATCCGGGAACCATGGTTGGCTTTGCCATAGAGGCGTGATGAGGGTCAGTATCACCTTCTGTATGCGGATTCGGTGAAGAACCCTTGTAATCATTGAGAATGGTGGGAATGCGTAAACCCTGTGTTGTGGCCATTGTTGCAGAAAAGCGTCCGTTGCTAGACTCTCCGGATCTGGGAGCCAACTGAAGAAGTCCTTCATCTGACGGTAGTTGCGGGAGGCGAATAAATCCAGGGAGAAGGGACCCCTATGTGCATTCCAGTATCGTGAAAATATGAGGGTCTAGTTGCCAGTCGCTGGCGTCCCGCCAGTGGCGTGAGTGCCAATCTGCTGTCATGTTGGTTTCCCTTGGTAGGTGTTCTGCTAACAGCATGATGTTGCGAGGCAGGCAATAATCGAAGATTTCCTTTGTGAGTTCTACTAGTGCTTGGGAGCGGGTGCCTCCGAGTCGGTTGATGTATCTTACCGCCGAGACATTGTCCATCCGGAGCAAGATGCAGCAGTTGGATCGTTCCTTTGCCAGGCTGCAAATGGCGAACGATCCTGCCAGGAGCTCCAGACAGTTGATGTGCATAGAAAGTTCTTGGGGAGTCCACACTCCTCCCGTGGCGGAGATGCCATCTGTTGCTCCCCAGCCTGAGCGTCTGGCGTCTGACTCCAGTATGAAGTCTGGTTGGTTTCCGAATATGGCCCGGCCGTTCCAGGCCTGCATGCAGTTCAGCCACCAGTGCAATTCCTCCCGAACCTCGTCCGACATAGGGACCGGTTGGTCGTATGTTGGGTTTTTGCGAAGGAACTTTGCCTTGAGGCGTTGCATGGCTCTGTAATGCAGGGGTCCAGGAAAGATGGCCTGGATGGATGACGAGAGAAGGCCCACGATCCGTGCCAGCAGTCATAAAGGTATAGATGTCAGTCGAAGTACCTTCCAAATTTCTCTGCGGATGGTGGCAATCTTTGCGGCCGGAAGGCGTAGAGTGCACGATGTTGAGTCTATCTCGAATCCAAGGAATTCGATCGACTGAGCGGGAATCAGTGATGACTTGGGGCCGTTGATAACAAAGCCCAGTGATTGGAGTAGGTGTACAGCGTAATCTGTGTGCCTCTTTAGGGTCCTTGCATCCTCGTCGAATATCAAGATGTCGCCGAGGTAGACGATGCATCTTATGCCTTGGGCCCTCAGTTTCGCCATCACCGGCTTCATCATTTTGGTGAAACACCATGGGGTCGAACTGAGGCCAAACAGGAGACTGGTGAATTGCCAAGGTGTCCCGTGCCAGTAGAAATGGAGATATGAGCGGCTCCTTTCGTGCACGGGGATGGTAAGGTATGCGTCCTTGAGGTCTAGACACGTGAACCAGTCATTTAGAAGTCGGTCTCGGAGAAGGTGGATATCCTCCATTTTGAAGGAATTGAGCTCCTTGAGGTTGATGACGGGTCGTAATTTCCCGTTTTTTTTCCTGACCAGTAAGATATTGCTGTAGAACCCGGTTGAGTCCGGAGCTGGTTGGATGGCACCCTTGGAATGTAAGTCCTGAAGTTCCAAGTCTACCAAACAAGCGTCCGCCCGTGACAGTTGGATCGGGCGTGGTGGGGTCTGTTGAAGTGGCGTCGTCTCGAATTCTATTTGATAGCCCCGCACCGTCCGAAGTATCCATGTGTCGGAGGATAGGTCTGTCCAATTCTGGAAAAAAAGAGAAACACGACCTGCGATATGGCAAGAGGTTAGAGGTAGGATAGAATGGTGACTTACCGTTGGAGAATCTCGCTCTGGAGCGTCATCGGCCGCCACGGTCACGGTCCGATCCCCTAAACTGATGGAAACGATGGCGGGCAGATGAATCCGTGTAGAATGGCTGTGTCCTGGTTGTGCGGGGACTGCCCCTCTGCCGACCAGCCCTCCCAAAAACACCTCGGGTGTTGGGGCCGCGGAATACTTTCCGCATTGACGTTTGTGCCTTATTGAGGGACGTGAATATATTGACCCTCTTATTAAGCTCAGTAAGGAAAGCCTCTCCAAACAGTTTGCCTTGTGCCAAGGGGCCCAATTCCTTATCCCCCAGTTCGACAAGCTTGTTGTCAATTCGGAAAAGTGCTGCTCGGCGCCTCTCTGAAGAGAGGGCCACATTAGTGTTCCCGAGGAAACAGAAGCACCTCTGTGCCCACTCTCGGGTATCCCATGCCAACTCACGCACCATATCTGGGGTGAAGTCATCAGCCCTTTCATAGGCATCATCTGCCATGTCCATGATCCTTGCCAATGGCCCGATGGCGTTTAGCAATTTGTCTTGGGCTCCCTTGAAGCCAAGTTCCACGCTCTTGCGTGGGTCCCGACCCCCACGGGACATGAATGTGGTCATAAGCGGGTCAAATTCGGGGGTGTGTGCTACCTTGTCTGGTAGTCTCGGGCGAGGACATTCAGATCTCATACGCTTTCTCACTTCCTTGTCTAGAGACTTCCGGAGCCAGAAGTGCATGAATCTGGTCAAGTGTTCGGGTGGCGTCCATTCTTCCGAACGGGGATGGCGAATGTACCTAGGATCGAACATTCGGAGGCCAGAGTTGTCCAGAAATATCTCTGAACCTTCTTGTGGGGTATCCAAGGTTGTGGCCACGGAGTCCTGGGGCTCACCCAGGATCTGTTCCCTTATGAGATAAGGGTCAGAGTTGGCGGCAGAGTCCCAGTCGGATTCCTCCTTGTCGGAGGCAGCCGCCTGCCATTCGTCAACCACGGCTAGAGCGTGTGATGGTCCTGCGCCATCTTCCCCAGAGGAAGCCTGAGCGGGTTTTTGGGACGATCTGCTCGTTTCTCTTCTGTGTTTATCAGGGGCCTTTCCTTTGGACTTACGTGGTCCCATGGCCTTGCCTTTCCAATGGCGCTTATGGGGGTGGGAGCGTTCCCTGGAGAAATCGGAGTCCTCAGAATCCGCCCCATAATGAGCCCGTTTGGGAATGGGTTTAGATGCATCTTGTTCCAATTGGAACGACTTAGCCAAGGCCTTTTCCATGGACGCAGCTACAGCTGCTGCAATCATGGCCTGGAGATCTGAGGGGTTTTGAGATTCTTCCATGGTGTTAATCACACTCGGAATATGCGAGAGGGCACTTGTGGCACAAAAATTGGAGAGGCCTGGGGACCAGGGGGTGGTATAGAAGTTGGTAATGGTTAACCTGAGAGGGTTATGTGACTGGTAGGTCAAGTGAGGTGATGAGGGCTGTCACTGGGGCTCACCCAGGAATTCGAAATCCTGCATGGACAGGTCCGTTCATCAGCACATGAATGGGGGCTCACCCCTGCCAGAATAAGGATAATCCAACTGGCTGAAACCGACCCCGAGTGCAAAGCACTAACCTGATACTGGTCCCACAGTGAGCTGTGATAAGGATGCAGAGTTCAGGAGAGTATTCCAGAGTATCTGGCAGTAATAATTGACTGGAGTCTGTAACAGGACAGTAGTAGCCGTTTAAAATGGCCGCCGGACTGAAGGCAGTTAAAATGGGGAGGTTTTAGTACCTCCCCTAGATGTTAGGGCTGCAAAAGGAGTTAGCCGAACGCAAGCGCCTGATACAAGGCGTTCTTGGGAGTTTTGCCGAACGCTAGGCGTTCGGCAAAAGAAACAAACCTATGCGAATGGACGGTCAGGTAGTGCCGTTCGTGAAGCGAAAAGAACGTGCAAATGACAGTGAAAGGCGGGAAATATCGAGAAGAGATCTAGCACTGGGGAGTAGAGGTGAAGACGGTGAGAATGCCAGTAAGACCTCCTGTAAAAGGGATAGGGCTAGAAAAGCAGAAGAAAGGTCCCAGAGCCAGGGAAAATAGAGGGGAATAGCCCCCAAAGGGTAATAAAAACAGAAATAGTAAAATAATAGTTACAATATAAGATATGAAATACAGTAGAAGTGTAAGGACAGAGAGGGTAAACCAAAATCTGTACTTATCTTGTGATGGAGCAGCAAAGAAAGAGGAAATTATGTCATACGTTACACCTCTTATACTCTATACTGCGTTGTGATTGGTTCTCAGTTATGTCACTCTTTTTTTTTTTGCTGCTATGGAGTTAGTAAAGAAAGATTATGCAAAATACGAAGCCTCCTGTCATGTGATAAAATTCCAAAGAACTTTCCCACGCTGTGTAAAATGACACCGATTTCAAGCCAACCAATCAGAGTGCTGTGACAGGTAAATGTAGAGACTTACCTGTCGGTCTCTTCATTTACCTGTCAGAGCACTCTGATTGGATGGCTTAAACCCACCAATCAGAGTGCTCTGAGCCTAATTGCAGGGCGGGGCAAGGCTTTATAAGCATTCCCCCACCCTGCAGAGCTCAGTCTGCGTGGAGCCCTCCATGGGTGAAAATTGATTATTATTTTTTTGCCCTTGTTTTATTTATTTATTTTTTTAAAGTGCGTCGGTTGTTATGGATTTTTATTTGGTCTTTTTTGGGGGCTGAAAAAATAAGAGTTTAGAAGAAAGAAGTAAGTCTATATTTTTTTTTTTTTTACAGGTATTTAGATAAGGGTCCCCTCTCATTATTTTTAGGATGAAGGGGGTAGGTAGGGGCTATTTTGTTTGGGGGGGGTGACTAGGGGTTTGGGGAAATCTAGTCACCTGGGGGGGTTAAATTTTTATTTAGGGCCCCCACCTGCTGCTCAGGGGCGGGGCTAGGGGGGAGGACATTAGGTCCCACCCAATTTTTATTTATGGCCCCCACCCGCCGCTCAGGGGTGGGGGCTGAGGGGAGGACAGTAGGTCCCCCCTTATTGTTATTTAGGGCCCCCACCCGCCGCTCAGGGGTGGGGGCCGAGGGGAGGACATTATGTCCCCCCCAATTTTTATTTATGGCCCCACCCACCACTCAGGGGTGGGGACCAGGGGGGAGGACATTAGGTCCCACCCAATTTTTATTTATGGCCCACACTCACCGCTCAGGGGTGGGGGCCGGGGGGTGGACAGTAGGTCCCCCCCCTTATTGTTATTTAGGGCCCCCACCCGCCGCTCAGGGGTGGAGACCGGGGGGAGGACACTAGGTTCCCCCCCTTATTGATATTTAGGGCCCCCACCCAACGCTCATGGATTGGGGCTGGGGGGGATGACATTAGGTCCCCCCCCAATTTTTATTTATGGCCCCCACCCACCGCTCAGGGGTGGGGGCCAGGGGGGGAGGACAGTAGGTCCCCCCCTTATTGTTATTTAGGGCCCCCACCAGCTGCTATGGGGTGGAGGCCGGGGGGAGGACAATAGGTTACCTCCTTATTGTTAATTAGGGCTCCCACCTGCCACTCAGGGGTGGGGGCCGGGGGGGCAATAGGTCCCCCCTTTAGTTTAAAAGCCCCCACTCGCGCGTTGTGGGTCGTCGTGGCTCAGGAGGGTGGAATGTATTTTTTTTTTTTTTAACAGTGAGCAGCCACTGTTTAATAGACATGCCCCTACTCGCGGTATAGCGAGTAGGGGCATAATTTAATAATACTAAGTAACCAGCTTATATAGAGGTTGGGTCACATGCTGCACTGACCAATCACAGCCATGCCATTAGTAGGCATGGGTGTGATGGCTTCTAAGGGCACAATAGGCAAACGCTTGTTGATTGGCTGCCCTGCAGCCTTTCAAAACGTGCCATTAAATCGCTGAACACCGAACTCGAACCCGAACATACACTGAAATGTCCGTGTTCGGGGTCCAAAAATCGTAATGTTCGGTACGAACCCAAACTTTTCAGTGGTGGGTTTCAAGCCAACCAATCAGAGTGCTGTGACAGGTAAATGTAGAGACTTACCTGTCAGTCTCTTCATTTACCTGTCAGAGCACTCTGATTGGATGGCTTAAACCCACCAATCAGAGTGCTCTGAGCCTAATTGCAGGGCGGGGCAAGGCTTTATAAGCATTCCCCCACCCTGCAGAGCTCAGTCTGCGTGGAGCCCTCCATGGGTGAAAATTGATTATTATTTTTTTGCCCTTGTTTTATTTATTTATTTTTTTAAAGTGCGTCGGTTATTATGGATTTTTATTTGGTCTTTTTTTGGGGCTGAAAAAATAAGAGTTTAGAAGAAAGAAGTAAGTCTATTTTTTTTTTTTTACAGGTATTTAGATAAGGGTCCCCTCTCATTATTTTTAGGATGAAGGGGGTAGGTAGGGGCTATTTTTTTTTGGGGGGGTGACTAGGGGTTTGGGGAAATCTAGTCACCTGGGGGGGTTACATTTTTATTTAGGGCCCCCACCTGCAGCTCAGGGGCGGGGCTAGGGGGGAGGACATTAGGTCCCCCACAATTTTTATTTATGGCCCCCACCCGCCGATCAGGGGTGGGGGCCGAGGGGAGGACAGTAGGTCCCCCCTTATTGTTATTTAGGGCCCCCACCCGCCGCTCAGGGGTGGGGGCCGAGGGGAGGACATTATGTCCCCCCCAATTTTTATTTATGGCCCCACCCACCACTCAGGGGTGGGGACCAGGGGGGAGGACATTAGGTCCCACCCAATTTTTATTTATGGCCCCCACCCACCGCTCAGGGGTGGGGGCCGGGGGGAGGACAGTAGGTCCCCCCTTATTATTGTTTAGGGCCCCCACCCGCCTCTCAGGGGTGGGGGCTGGGGGTTCAGGACAGTAGGTCCCCCCCCTTATTGTTATTTAGGGCCCCCACCCGCCGCTCAGGGGTGGAGACCGGGGGGAGGACACTAGGTTCCCCCCCCTTATTGATATTTAGGGCCCCCACCCAACGCTCAGGGATGGGGGCTGGGGGGGATGACATTAGGTCCCCCCCCCAATTTTTATTTATGGCCCCCACCCACCACTCAGGGGTGGGGGCCAGGGGGGGAGGACAGTAGGTCCCCCCCTTATTGTTATTTAGGGCCCCCACCAGCTGCTATGGGGTGGAGGCCGGGGGGAGGACAATAGGTTCCCTCCTTATTGTTAATTAGGGCTCCCACCTGCCGCTCAGGGTTGGGGGCCGGGGGGGCAATAGGTCCCCCCTTTAGTTTAAAAGCCCCCACTCGCGCGTCGTGGGTCGTCGTGGCTCAGGAGGGTGTAATGTTTTTTGGTTTTTTTTTTTTTAACAGTGAGAAGCCACTGTTTAATAGACATGCCCCTACTCGCGGTATAGCGAGTAGGGGCATAATTTAATAATACTAAGTAACCAGCTTATATAGAGGCTGGGTCACATGCTGCACTGGCCAATCACAGCCATGCCATTAGTAGGCATGGCTGCGATGGCTTCTAAGGGCACAATAGGCAAACGCTTGTTGATTGGCTGCCCTGCAGCCTTTCAAAACGTGCCATTAAATCGCTGAACACCGAACTCGAACCCGAACATACACTGAAATGTCCGTGTTCGGGGTCCAAAAATCGTAATGTTCGGTACGAACCCAAACTTTTCAGTTCGGGTTCGCTCAACTCTAGTGGTGACTAATAAGGATCATCTAATATTTCAACATACAGAAGAGGGAGTGGGACCCTAAAAAATCCCACAACGCTTATAGATTGAGCCAACACTTACTGGCTCTACACTTGTGAGTGTAAATATCTATTTTTATTCACTTAATGTTTATATTCAGACAATATTGCACTAGTATTTGTTTTCCTTAAAGGATAGTGTTAGCTAAAGACCAGAAGCATTTGGAATTATTTGTAAGATACTCCACCTTATTTATATTTGTATTACAAATTAATCTTAGTCCAATAAAAAAGGTACTGCAAGAAATTGCAAAACTTTAGTGTAAAATAACTGCAAACATTCATTATTTTTAAGTCTAAACAGTATGAAAGTATCAAAAATAATACTTACCTTGACCTGCCACCTTGTAAAGTTGTTCAATTGGAAATCTTACAAGCTCATTTATGATATATGTGTCAGCTGTTGAAGAAAAATATTCATTAAACATGTCTGTTGTATCCCAATCATGCAGATGATAGTGTTTGGGACAGCTGGGATCCATTCTGAATACCCGTAGTATTCTACAATACTAATGTAGCAAGCAAGCAAGCTATTAAGTGCTGTAACTATAATTTATTTCAACTTATATTACCAGTTAGTGTATTCTGTTTACAAACAGGCATGAGACTTATCATGAGTCAGTGTACATCAATACAGATATATTACAATGACTTAATTAAATCATTTTTACTAGTCAGATGTCACAGTTCTCACCGTGAAAACTCACCCAAGAAATGTCCAACCAGAGATTTGAACCTGAGTCTTTTTGCATCCCAAGCCTGCATTCCTACCTCTAAACCACTATTCAGTTCATGTTTTGGTTGATGTCCTATCCTGCCTTGTCTGCAGCACTAGGGAGCTGGACTTCACCAGTGGCTCTCACCTATCAATCTCAGCCTACCTGAAGCTGATGGCCCAATTAGCCAAGTATAAGACACGGCCTCTCCCTGAGGGCAGTGTCAGTTCATTGACTCTGGTTCCTGTGTTTGTATTTGTGTTCCCATCTTGTTCCCACGAATGCAGGCAGCGGTGTTTGGTCATCAATCTCCTGGAACTAAAATCGGACACTGAAACTCCTGAACGATGCTGGACTTCCATCATCACCTGCATTCTGTTCTATATCACTTAGAAGGGCACTGTTCAGTGAGAACGTTCCCGTGAACAAGCTCCAGGGTAGAACTATGGATTCCGTTCGTTAGTTTGTTCGTTTTTTAGCTACTGAACTTGACTGACCATTAGCAAAGTTTTGGGCATAAGACCATGTGCACGGTCGGTCAAAATTAGGACTTTCATGGAAATCCCGAACCCATGAACTGATCTTGGTGATTTTGTTGGTCACCCAGATCGGAACTATCAGGGGATGTGACTTTTGTGGGGTTTTCATGTGTTTTGGGGTTTTTGTTATATTGCCTGTTTCCTGTACTGAGAGATAATTCAATTATGTTTGTGTGCTCAGGTAATTATCTCTCAGGCACAGGGGAGGAGTGTGTTAGATGTTTGCTTGTAACTAGTCTCCTCTCTGGTCCAGTGGGAGGGATTATCCTGTTTTGTGTGGGAGTGTTATGAGCGTGTTTGTCTGAGTCTAGATTGTATAAAAGCAGGCCATTTGACTAGATTAAAACATTCCAGCTTGTACTCCCAGAACTATGTGTCGTCTGGTTACTGGGAGGCAAAAAGGCTAATCACTGTTTGCAGGATTCAACGGGGAAAGTCCTTGGAAGGACTAGAGTTCCCAGGACTGAGTATTGTCCAGTGCCTGGGGGAGCATAGAGTGAGTTCCCCAATCGGCTCTTGGAGAGAGTGGTTCCAGGACCCCAGTCAAGCCACGGTGACTGTGGGCAGAAGTGCTGAGGTTTGTCCCCTGTTCCAGCTAGGAAGCGCTCCTTAGCTGAGGTACCCAGCCAGGGGTATAGGGAGCTCCGTTTCAACCACTATGCATGCTGTAGAGTTTATGGTTCCAAGAATGCCCTGGCACTCTTCCCCATTACATACTAAGTAATCAAACAATTTTATAATGGTTTTATATAGTTACATAGTTACATAGTTACATAGCTGAAAAGAGACTTGCGTCCATCAAGTTCAGCCTATCTCACATTTGTTTTTTGCTGTTGATCCAAATGAAGGCAAAAAAACCCAGATTGAAGCACAATTTTGCAACAAGCTAGGAAAAAAATTCCTTCTTGACCCCAGAATGGCAGTCAGATTTATCTTTGGATCAAGCAGTTATTACCCTACATTGAAAGATTATATCCTTGAATATTCTGTTCTTGCAAGTATGCATCTAGTAGCCGTTTGAACATCTGTATAGACTCTGATAAAACCACTTCTTCAGGCAGAGAATTCTACATCCTGATTGTTCTTACAGTAAAAAAACCTTTCCTTTGCCTTAGACGAAATCTTCTTTCTTCCAGTCTAAATGCATGGCCTCGTGTCCTATGTAAAGTCCGGTTTGTGAATAGATTTCCACACAATGGTTTGTATTGGCCCCGAATATATTTGTATAATGTTATCATATCCCCTCTCAGGCGACGTTTTTCTAAACTAAATAGGTTTAAATTTGTTAACCTTTCTTCATAGCCGATATGTTCCATTCCTTTTATTAATTTTGTAGCCCGCCTCTGCACTTTTTCTAGTGCCATAATATCCTTCTTTAGAACAGGTGCCCAAAATTGCACAGCATATTCAATATGGGGTCTTACCAGTGATTTATAAAGAGGCAAAATTATATTCTCGTCCCGAGAATGAATGCCCTTTTTCTTGCATGACAATACCTTACTGGCCTTGGCCACTGCTGATTGACATTGCACATTGTTGCATAGTTTGTTGTCTATAACAATTCCCAAGTCCTTTTCATGTGTTGTCATCCCTAATTCACTTCCATTAAGGGTATACGTTGCTTGTGTATTCTTTACGCCGAAGTGCATAACTTTGCATTTTTCAACATTAAATTCCATCTGCCATTTGAGTGCCCAGTCCCCCAGTCTATCTAAATCCCTCTGCAGCAAAGTAATATCTTGTTCACATTGTATTGTTTTACAAAGTTTGGTGTCATCTGCAAACACTGAAACATGACTTTCAATTCGGTCTTCAAGATCATTTCTTGCTGGGGGCACCGCTCCCCACCTCCTCTCTGTCAGTCAAGAGAACCTTTAAGGGTCACTCCAGAACCCTAAACAACTTTAGCTTGCTGAAAAGTTTTATTTGTAAAGAGTTTTTTTTTTCCTTTTTTTTTGTTTTTTTATTTTGCAAAAAGTGCAGATTTTAATAGAAGTTTACACTTTTATAAATTAAGCTGGTTACACCCCCTTGGCTTTCAAACACACAACAAGTAATTTCACTTCCTGGTTCGGTTAGCTCACTGAAGCTTAATTCAAGAGGCAGCAATTGCTCAGAGGACCTGCCTTGCAAAGATTTCTCAGAAAGGTTGGGAGGGGTTAGAAGGGTAGGGCTTTGTAAAGGCATCAGACAAGAGAAATGCTGGTTTTGCAAACTGTTTTTAGATTTACCCTAATTAAAAAAAAATGCATAATTAAATGCATGAATGTTCTTATTTGGGGCATAACTACTTAATAGTGATTTAAAAATATATTTGGGTAGTGGATGTCCCTTTAAGCTCCTCCTTAGGAACTTCTGTTAGTTCTCCTGAGGCTAAGCATGTCAGCTAATCACTCATGGCCAATAAGTAAAGCCCTGCTTAGCTAAGACCGAGATCTTCCAGCTGTCCTGTAGAAATGGTAGAGACAGCACCCAGCAGACCTCAGGTAAAAAGTCAAACCACTTTAAAATGACTTGACTACTTACAATGGGGGGAGTGGCAGAACACAGCTGGCACCATAACCACTACAGTGAGCTGTTTGGAGTGCTCCTTTAATATTATACTGATCTTTTTTTTCTAAACACTGAAATGTGGCCAATTTACAAAAGAATTACAACATTTGATCCAAAATACAGTGGATACAAAACACAAAGAAAAAGGATGCGCCAAAAAGTCCAAAGGACACAGTCCAAAATGTTCCCCTTTGACCAGGCAGTAGTCATTTGGAGACTTAGTGGCAGCTGGTAAAAGCAGTGATAGTGTTGGACCTACATGCAAGGTTCTTCCCAAAGTGAATAATAGGATCTTATAGAATCAGTATGTTACAACACCGTAATAAATGAACAAAACAAACCCCAATAAAAGTAGAGATTAATAGAAGTGGAGATGAATAAAAAGATCAAATAATAGAAAGATCAGTAAGTTTAAAACACAGCAATAAATAAATAAAATAAAACTTACCATGACCTGTCACCTTGTAAAGTTGTTTTATTGGAAATCGTGCAAGCTCATTTGTGATTTATGTGTCAGCTGTTTAAGAAAAATATTCATTAAACATGTCCGTAGTTTCCCAATCATGCAGATGATTAAAGCTGCCCCTAATAAATATGAAGATAGATAAACAAAAAGGAGATGAAATAAGATTTAAAATAAATAAAATGGGGGGGGGGTGGAAGGGGGAAGACAATAAGTCAAATGACAGTCCTAGGATCATATGACAAGTAGGTCTGAGTATAAGCACAGCCTAGAAAAGGATAGTGATTGGGCAACTCAAGTACAGAGTTGTTCTAATACAGACCTACCTTTTCTAGCTATATAGTACTTATTTAACAATAAAAAATAAAAAAAAAACAGCAGGTACCAATAGCCTTTAATGCAGTCAAATATAGTGCAACCTGACTGCATGCAGTAAGATAAAAATGCACTGGGTGGCAGCAGAGTACGCACAATTAGAAACAATGGATCAAAGTGCTCACTGTATGGCTGAAATATATTAAAGTACAAGATTAAAAACTCACAAATAGAGGTTAAGAAACATACCCAACAGGGGATCAGCACCCCACATACTAGTAGTCCAATGCTGGATGAGGATGATAGTTGACCATGTCTTAAATAATTCATCCAGTCGACCAGTTCCTTGTGTTAGATGGGGACAGCGTGCGTTCCCCTGTGCCTGCTTCTGCGTTCCATCAATTCACCGTAAGTACAATTGGCAAATGAGTTCAAGTAAGAATATGACAAAAGACCGATATACTAAAATATTTAGTTCAGCTTTTCAACAAAGTGAAAGCTATAATAATATATTATGTATATCAAGCGAACCCATTATCCCTATCAATACTAGATCATTTTCATCAATACTAGAGCTTTTCATCTTGAAGACTAATACCATGTGTAATGACTGCAAATCTAGACCCAAAGAAGGAAGAAAGTCTCCAAGAAGATCAGAAGTTCCAAAACTCCCTGCTTTAGATTTAAGTCCATCTCCCAATAAGATGCATTTTTTTAAGAGCACCCCCAATGAGATTCACCATTTTTTTAAATTTCTTTTTTTTTTACTCCATTACAGATAAGAATAATACATCTAAAAGACATAGAAGTAAACACAAATTAAGAGGAAGTAGGTAGGGGCTAGGACAACTCTAAATTGCCCAACAACTACCTTTTCCTAGGATATGTTTCTATTGAGATCTACTTGTCATATTATTCCAGGACTGTCCTTCATTAGACCTATTGCCTTTGTTTTTCCATCTTTGTTTTATCCTTCTCCATTTTTATTAGGGACTTTTTTTTATTTATTACTATTTATTACTGTGTTTTAAACTTACACATTTTTCTATTTTATCTGCTTTTTATTCATTTACTTTTCTATTTATCTCTACTTTTATTGGGGTTTTTGTCCTTTTATTATTGATTTCACTCTGAGTGTTCGCTTTGGTTGTTTCCACTGGTTCTTCTGGTGAATTTAATGGTGTGTTTTTTATTTATTTATTGTTTTGTTTTTTTATCTGGTTTTCACTAATCAACACCAATTGCATGGATTGGGGCTATGGCACCAGACGGCACTTTAACAGGGGCGGCATTCTGCCACCCCTGTGTCTCCCGTTGGGAGCCTAGGCCGTCTTTGGTGTATGTGTGTGTGTGTGTATATGTATATGTGTGTGTGTGTGTGTGTGTGTGTGTGTGTATGTATGTATGTATGTATATATATATATATATATATATATATAGGTGAACGCTTGGCACTCACCTCCAAAAAAATATAAATTTGTAACTCACATGCCTGGGTGCAAATTGTTGGCGTCAAATATATAAACAAAAATAAAAATCAAAATGCACTCACAGGTCTTCTGGTTAATAGGAAAACTGGTGCTTTAATAAATCATCTGTGATGTACAAAGAAATCAATCGACGTTTCGACCCTGCCGGGTCTTTTTCAAGATCATATAATACATGACAAGAAAGTGTTTATATATAAAATACAAATCTAAGTGAATAAACACTTACCCAATGGTGAAGTGAGGAGGAGTGTGTTTGCCCGTTAGAACCCGGAAGTGAATGGAAGCTGCACACAACGTCACGTGATCAGGGCGTCGTACAGGGAAAAAGTGGTTGCCAAGGCAACAATACACAAAGTAGAAAAATCCTATGCCGGGAGCAAGTAGATCAGTGTGAAGCAAGGAGTGGGTAGTGTAAACTACCAATACAAAGTGAATGATACAAAAGTCAGGAGAATCGAGTACATAAGCAGCAAGTGCTGTGCAGTGTCATGTGAAAACCTGAGTGATAAACGTGTGAGCACACAACAAACAAATATAATAAACTGTGAAAAACGAATACCTGACATCATAAATAAAATCAAAGCAAAAGAGCAGAGTATATACAAAAATACTGTATACAAAATTATACAATTATCTTATACATGATATCCACTAAAGTGTATAGTATGCAAAATTAGTAATATAATAATTTGATGCTAGACAATATGACATAAACACCAAGTGACACACGGGCTTTTTATAATGAAAAAACATCTAAACTAAATATATAGCCTAGAAACCTACGAAGGAGGCTGAGGAAACCTGAAGAATAAAGAATCAGCTGCATCTTAAGTAATCCAAAAAACATGACAACGGAGAAATAGATACAGAGACCAGAGCTAATGAAAAAGATCCTTAAATAAACAAAGCCAATAAATTGATCTAACGTGCTCTCACAAATGGGACTGTAGCATATGATTTCTCCATACATATAAACAAAAAAAAACAAAAAAAAAAAAAAAACAATTGTCAATCTAATGCTAAAGAGAGCTACAAGTTAATCATAGAAGGGTGCTGGACAAGTCTCTAAATATAGATGGTCTAAAAATAATATCTAACTTGTAGTATCAAGACAATAGCACAATGAAAAATAATTGCCAAGTGCGAAAAATAAAAATTACAGTAAATAATAATAAAAGTAGAAATTCTTAGATAAATGGTATCTAACATGCAGTGTCAAGCTGATAGCATATGAGGACTCTCTACATACCAAGTGTTAAAATAGGATAAAGCACCAGCAATAATCAATAGACAACAAATCTAATAATCTAAGTCAAATGGAAATATTGCAAAAATGTGGAAAATATATGTAATAAACAATAATGTGGGTAGCGTATGATTGCTACCTACAAAAAAATAAAAAAAATAAAAAATAAAAGGTAGTTGCAGAATGGAACTGGTGCATACTGAAGTAGTAGGACAGAATATATCTGAACAACAACAAATAATTAACAAGGGAATAGAATACAAATAACTGGAAGTAATGAAAAATAATCATAAAAAAGATACATGAAATCTACAGGTATCTTAATGGAGAAAACAAAAAATAAAAAATAAAAAATAACTGACTAATGGAACTATCTGAAGCTATGCTGGTGACAAAAAATGTAAAGATGTATATAATAATGCAATAATAGGCATCACCACAGGGTAGATATACTATATATGGACATAAAATAAGAGTACACGAATAATCATAAGAACATGGAATAAATGATGTTTTCATTTAAACCTTTGGGTGTGATCGTGTCCAAGTGGTGGATCCAGTAAGCTTCTCTCTGTAGAAGCATTTTGGATCGGTCGCCACCCCGAACTAGAGGAGGTACATGATCAATGCCTATAAATTTGAGCGTAGGAAGGTGATGCTGCATAGCCAGAAAGTGTTTGGCTACTGGTTTCTCCGTGGTTTGGTCTCGATATGCCGTCATTATACCAGAGCGATGTCCCCTCATTCTGTCACGTAATGTGAGGTCTGTCTTCCCAACATACGATAGTCCGCATGGGCATGTCACCATGTAAATTACGTGATCCGTCGTGCAAGTGATGTAATGATTAATCGGTATCCTTTTACCCGTATGTGGGTGGGAAAAGGAGGTACTGGTCAGCATATGGCTACAAGTCACACAGCCCGTGCACTTAAAGCAGCCCTTCTTTTTGATCCATGTTTTCTTAGTATAGCATTGTGTAGGATCATTGCGAACTAGTAAGTCTCTCAGATTGGACAAGGTGATACGAACAGCTTCAATACCTTCGGCTTGTGGTATTGCGGTGTATAAATTCTGAACGTCCAGAGTGGCAAATATGAATTCACGCTGGATATCATGTCCTAGTTCTCTAAGTTGGCTTAAAAGATCTTGGGTGTCTTTAAGACAGAATGGTAACTCTTTGACGCTGTCTTGTAGATGATAATCCACGTATTTGGCAATGGGTTCTAACAGACCACCCCTTGCCGAGACTATGGGTCTGCCTGGGGGGTTATGGCTGGATTTGTGGATCTTGAGCAAGGTGTAAAGAACTGGATGTATAGGGTGAATCACCAAAAGATATTTAGCTGTGTTAGAATCAATGTATCCAGCTTGGAGGCCCATATCAATAAGTTGTTGGATCTTGTTTTGAAATGCCAGCACAGGATCATAAGTGAGTTTTCGATACGTTGAAGTGTCATTCAGCTGTCGCATAATTTCACACTTGTATTGCTGGTATGATTGAATCACAACGCCTCCGCCTTTATCAGCAGGGCGAATTACTATGTTCGCATCATCACGGAGATCCTGAAGTGCAGCCTTTTCATCCAAAGTTAAATTGGGTCTATGTTTCGGTGGAGTTTTTATGATCTTCAGCGCATCCTTATGTATGGTCTGTACATAGGTTTTAATGGTCATGTTATTTGATTTGATATCCTTTTTCTCCTTGGTAATAAAAGGGTTTGGTTGATATGTAGGATCTTCTTTCCTGTACTCATTGGCATATAGAGTGCGTTGTAATTTGTACATATCGATTTCAACTGAGAATGCCTGTGGTTTTTTAACAGGGATAAAAGTAAGACCCTTGCTTAAAAGGCTGAGATGGGCTTCTGTTAGTAGTTTATTAGATAGATTAAAGACTACTGACGTTTCCTCTGTGATGGAGGTTTGGCGGCGGTGTTGGCATATCTGGTGACCCTTTTTCCCTCGCCTGGGGGGTCTCTTTTTCTTAGTCCGCTGGATTCCATACCCATGCCCATACCTGGGGGGTCTTGATGATGAGTGCCAATATCTAAAAAAGGTTCAGTTCTGGACTGTGGTCTGGTATCTTTAGGTACGTCGATTGATTTCTTTGTACATCACAGATGATTTATTAAAGCACCAGTTTTCCTATTAACCAGAAGACCTGTGAGTGCATTTTGATTTTTATTTTTGTTTATATATTTGACGCCAACAATTTGCACCCAGGCATGTGAGTTACAAATTTATATTTTTTTGGAGGTGAGTGCCAAGCGTTCACCTATACATATATTTTGGTGGGGCGTCCCACCTTCTTGAGCACCCCTATCATTTATGACTAAAATACTTTGTGGATGTGTTCTGCTCCTTTTTCAAGTGATCACAGCATGGAGGATTTTTTATCAAGAGCTGGAGCCCTAGCTGACACGGCTGAAACACTTTCTATCAGTGATGAACATGCTTTATCTGTTTTATGGCCACGGTCTACTAAAGATCTCTCTCACACAAATACACCTAAGGAATTATACAATGATTTACTAAAGCTAAAAAGACGTGAAATAGACTTAGACCTCCATGGCGTGTTCATCTCTGACTATTTTCGCGCTAAGAGAATACCTAGGGGATTTAGAGTCAGAAATGCCCCCACGATTGGCAGACAGAATCCAGACTTTTGCAAACGCTGGATGAACATCGCCAATAAGTGCTCCTTAGACTGGATGGTCATAGTGGTTGAGGAGGTCGGTAAAGAGCTACTCCAGGTGAAAAAGTCTATTCAGGAATTTGAAGTAGCAAACGTCACCTCTCTACAGGCACCTACTGCGAACGAGATGATGATTAAATTACAAGACGACATCCAGAAATATCAGAACGAATTAATTCGTTTTAAAAAACAAAAATTAACTAAGGTTAATCATGATTATACACACCACCAAGTGTATAGATGGCTCAGCGGTATGGATACCACCACTAGGAATATTCTTCCTAGATTTAGACCCCGCATTACCAGACCTTCCTCGCACACGATTGACATCAGCTCGGGGGAATCAGCCTCGGATGCTGAACCTAAAGATACCAGACCACAGTCCAGAACTGAACCTTTTTTAGATATTGGCACTCATCATCAAGACCCCCCAGGTATGGGCATGGGTATGGAATCCAGCGGACTAAGAAAAAGAGACCCCCCAGGCGAGGGAAAAAGGGTCACCAGATATGCCAACACCGCCGCCAAACCTCCATCACAGAGGAAACGTCAGTAGTCTTTAATCTATCTAATAAACTACTAACAGAAGCCCATCTCAGCCTTTTAAGCAAGGGTCTTACTTTTATCCCTGTTAAAAAACCACAGGCATTCTCAGTTGAAATCGATATGTACAAGTTACAACGCACTCTATATGCCAATGAGTACAGGAAAGAAGATCCTACATATCAACCAAACCCTTTTATTACCAAGGAGAAAAAGGATATCAAATCAAATAACATGACCATTAAAACCTATGTACAGACCATACATAAGGATGCGCTGAAGATCATAAAAACTCCACCGAAACATAGACCCAATTTAACTTTGGATGAAAAGGCTGCACTTCAGGATCTCCGTGATGATGCGAACATAGTAATTCGCCCTGCTGATAAAGGCGGAGGCGTTGTGATTCAATCATACCAGCAATACAAGTGTGAAATTATGCGACAGCTGAATGACACTTCAACGTATCGAAAACTCACTTATGATCCTGTGCTGGCATTTCAAAACAAGATCCAACAACTTATTGATATGGGCCTCCAAGCTGGATACATTGATTCTAACACAGCTAAATATCTTTTGGTGATTCACCCTATACATCCAGTTCTTTACACCTTGCTCAAGATCCACAAATCCAGCCATAACCCCCCAGGCAGACCCATAGTCTCGGCAAGGGGTGGTCTGTTAGAACCCATTGCCAAATACGTGGATTATCATCTACAAGACAGCGTCAAAGAGTTACCATTCTGTCTTAAAGACACCCAAGATCTTTTAAGCCAACTTAGAGAACTAGGACATGATATCCAGCGTGAATTCATATTTGCCACTCTGGACGTTCAGAATTTATACACCGCAATACCACAAGCCGAAGGTATTGAAGCTGTTCGTATCACCTTGTCCAAATGCACAGCGTATAAAGGTCCCCCTATTGAATTTATTTTGGAACTACTCACTATTGCACTCTCCTGCAACTATTTCAAATTTGAGGGCAACTTTTACTTGCAGACATCCGGAACTGCTATGGGGGCAGCCATGGCTCCATCATATGCTAACATCTTCATGTCCTGGTTTGAACAAGAATACATTTTCTCCACATATGCGAACAAAATACTGAAGTATTTTAGGTTTGTCGATGACATCCTTCTTCTTTGGACTACCACACATCAGGAATTGGAAGAAATGGTTCAACAACTAAATACGTTACCCACAACTATAAAATTTACGCTCAACCACAATCAGGATCAAATCCACTTTTTGGATGTTTTACTGTACAAAAAAACAGGTGATATTGGCTACACTCTATACCGTAAAGATACAGACAGAAATACTATTCTATCAGCCTCTAGCTTTCACCCCCAACACCTTAAAGACTCTTTACCTATCTCACAGTTTCTTAGAGTTTTTCGCTACAACAGCGATACCTCTAATATGAACGCTCAGCTGGCTGAAATGAAACAACGGTTTATTGACAGGGGCTATGCCCCCCATACACTGGAGATTGCTCAACAAAGAGCTAGAGACCGCTTTGAATCCAGCACGAATATTAAAACCACGAAGACACAATTATTCCTCCCTATGACTTATCATACAGCAACTTCAAAAATAAAAAATACTATAAACAGACACTGGGACGTACTGCAAGCCGATAAGAATCTTCCTCCGATCTTCCAACAACGTCCTATGATCAGCTACAAAAGAAACCGCAATCTGAGAGACTTACTAGTTCGCAATGATCCTACACAATGCTATACTAAGAAAACATGGATCAAAAAGAAGGGCTGCTTTAAGTGCACGGGCTGTGTGACTTGTAGCCATATGCTGACCAGTACCTCCTTTTCCCACCCACATACGGGTAAAAGGATACCGATTAATCATTACATCACTTGCACGACGGATCACGTAATTTACATGGTGACATGCCCATGCGGACTATCGTATGTTGGGAAGACAGACCTCACATTACGTGACAGAATGAGGGGACATCGCTCTGGTATAATGACGGCATATCGAGACCAAACCACGGAGAAACCAGTAGCCAAACACTTTCTGGCTATGCAGCATCACCTTCCTACGCTCAAATTTATAGGCATTGATCATGTACCTCCTCTAGTTCGGGGTGGCGACCGATCCAAAATGCTTCTACAGAGAGAAGCTTACTGGATCCACCACTTGGACACGATCACACCCAAAGGTTTAAATGAAAACATCATTTATTCCATGTTCTTATGATTATTCGTGTACTCTTATTTTATGTCCATATATAGTATATCTACCCTGTGGTGATGCCTATTATTGCATTATTATATACATCTTTACATTTTTTGTCACCAGCATAGCTTCAGATAGTTCCATTAGTCAGTTATTTTTTATTTTTTATTTTTTGTTTTCTCCATTAAGATACCTGTAGATTTCATGTATCTTTTTTATGATTATTTTTCATTACTTCCAGTTATTTGTATTCTATTCCCTTGTTAATTATTTGTTGTTGTTCAGATATATTCTGTCCTACTACTTCAGTATGCACCAGTTCCATTCTGCAACTACCTTTTATTTTTTATTTTTTTTATTTTTTTGTAGGTAGCAATCATCCGCTACCCACATTATTGTTTATTACATATATTTTCCACATTTTTGCAATATTTCCATTTGACTTAGATTATTAGATTTGTTGTCTATTGATTATTGCTGGTGCTTTATCCTATTTTAACACTTGGTATGTAGAGAGTCCTCATATGCTATCAGCTTGACACTGCATGTTAGATACCATTTATCTAAGAATTTCTACTTTTATTATTATTTACTGTAATTTTTATTTTTCGCACTTGGCAATTATTTTTCATTGTGCTATTGTCTTGATACTACAAGTTAGATATTATTTTTAGACCATCTATATTTAGAGACTTGTCCAGCACCCTTCTATGATTAACTTGTAGCTCTCTTTAGCATTAGATTGACAATTGTTTTTTTTTTTTTTTGGTTTATATGTATGGAGAAATCATATGCTACAGTCCCATTTGTGAGAGCACGTTAGATCAATTTATTGGCTTTGTTTATTTAAGGATCTTTTTCATTAGCTCTGGTCTCTGTATCTATTTCTCCGTTGTCATGTTTTTTGGATTACTTAAGATGCAGCTGATTCTTTATTCTTCAGGTTTCCTCAGCCTCCTTCGTAGGTTTCTAAGCTATATATTTAGTTTAGATGTTTTTTCATTATAAAAAGCCCGTGTGTCACTTGGTGTTTATGTCATATTGTCTAGCATCAAATTATTATATTACTAATTTTGCATACTATACACTTTAGTGGATATCATGTATAAGATAATTGTATAATTTTGTATACAGTATTTTTGTATATACTCTGCTCTTTTGCTTTGATTTTATTTATGATGTCAGGTATTCGTTTTTCACAGTTTATTATATTTGTTTGTTGTGTGCTCACACGTTTATCACTCAGGTTTTCACATGACACTGCACAGCACTTGCTGCTTATGTACTCGATTCTCCTGACTTTTGTATCATTCACTTTGTATTGGTAGTTTACACTACCCAC